AGATTTGACAAATGTATTAAGTGTAATAGGGAGTACTTTGAAGGTGATAAGGTCATTTTGTAAAAAAATTTAAATACATAGCTTTGAAAAAAATTATGCTGTTTTGGGGAGATCCCCTTGTAAACTGAGAAAGTCATGTAACATCTCCCCCATTAGTGTTCACTGTGCACCCTATTATTGCCATTGAACCGATTCCAACTCATAAACCCCGTATATGACAAAGGAAGATGCCCCATCGAGTTTCCAAGCCGTAATCTTCATGGGGACAGATCACCAGGTGTTTGCCCCTATGGTGCTGCAAGAAGGTGCAAAACGCGGACCTGCTGTTAGCAGTTGAGCAACTAAGGCTTCGTATAGTTGTCTTTATTTTTCTTTTTTTCAGGCTACTGGGTTTTTTTAATCACTAAGAGCTGTTACATATTTGTAACAATTCATAATTCAATCAGATCAAGCATAATTATATAATTGCTGCCACCATCAGTTTCAGAACATTTGCTCTCTTCTTAAACTCCTTGATATCAGCTCCCCTTTATCCCCTCCCTCTCCCTGCTGCCCCACCCCCCAGAGCCCTTATTGTTATGTTATATTATTATTTCCATGTCTTACACCATCCATATATCCACTCACCTTAATCCTGTTTTTGTTCCCCTAGAGTGGGATTATATAGTCATCATTGCTATCTGCTTCCCCCACCACCTTATTACCGTACCCTCAGGGATTCATTACTCCTGTTACTGTTTCTGAAGGGTTATCTATCTTGGCTTTCATGCATCAAACTATCTTAATTATCCAAATGAACATACTCATGTCTAACAAGATCAGTGAGGTAAAACAAGAACCATAGTAGTGAGGAGAGGAAATATTAAAGAACTAGAGGATCATTGTGTGTTTCATCAGTGCTATACCACACCCTGGTATAATCTTCAAATACATTGTCTAAGCATGAGAATGAACATAGCACTTGGAGAGATTCGTGGCTGTGCTTCTAAGGAATCTGAAGGCGGTGCTCTTGTCCACTGTTGGGCAGGGCATTGGTTCTCAGCTCTTGGTAGAGTACACACACAGAGGAGTTGAAAGAACTGGTATTTAAGATATGACCAGTTGGTAGGGGCATGTCATGTGGCAGCGCTTTAGACTTCTGGCTTTCTAGCGGGCCTGGAGGTCTTTCAGTTGATCTTTCATATACTTCCCAGCATATGTTTAAAGTCTTGTGGAGGGAGAATGGGGGAGGGGCCATTTCTGTATGGTCGACTCTGTGTGTGACTAATTCATTTTCCGAAACCACAGCAGTGTCCTTGCTTTCAAACATTAATTATTCATCTTGTTTATTGTTTCTTTCAGTTAAATCTCAAATGTTAGAGGGTAGTAGCATGAAATTCAGAAAATGGAATTTTAATTAGTGGTTAGATAAGCTGGAATTCCTGGTGCATACTAATCATTCTGTAATGTGCAGTTACTGAGATAAGCAACATTTTAAAGGCAGTTCTGAAGTGAGTGCCTTTGGTGCCTGGTAGATGTCCATACACGAGTGACAGGTGGGTAGGTGTCATGTAGCAGGAGTTCAGGGATCGCTGTTTTGACCTTGGGCAAGTGAAGAAATGGTATGGGCGTGACACCTGACCTCCTCCCGCTTCAGTAGGGAGGAGAATCCAACTTCATAACAGTCCAAGGCCGACTGCCACAGGAAGGTGACCTGCCTCCATCCTTCTGTGCCCTCTTCTGACACCAGCTCTCCTCGTGGCACCTTCTGCTGGATTCAAGCATCTGTTGTCATGGCCACATGGCACTCACAGGCAGTGCTCACAATGAGTCCATTCTAATTCATAATGACCCTATGGAGCCCTAACTGCAAGTGCAACAGTTGGAAACCACTAACCACTTCACGGGGAAAAGATGAGGCTTGCTGCTCCTGTAAAGATTCAGTCTCAGAAACCCATAGGGGCCCTTCCACTCTGTCCTGCAGACCCCTGTGAGGGTAGCTGACAGGTTCCAGAATGTTAAGGATAGCATTCTTTTGTCTGCAGCACCTCTCCCCAGCCATGCTGCTGGGCATGTGTCTCTGGTCCTCAGCCCCTGTACCACATGAGTGGTCCTTTGACTCTGCCGTGCTCCGTAAGCCAGGATGCCTGTGCTCTGCCTCATGGTCTTGGCACTGCTTCTCTGCTCCATCTCAGAGTCTCTGCGTGTCTCCTCCTCTGCTGTCTTACCGTCTGTGCTGTGGCTTTTTGTGCCTCTCCTGCTTCTACCCTCAGGCTGGCCTCTCTCCCATTTTCTTCTTGGTGCTTGTGGGATTCCTGTCCCCGCTTCTGCAGTGGCTTACTCTTAGGCCCAGCAGAATGGCGAAATTGATCAATCTCCAAGCTAGAATCTTCTACACCTTAAGCTCCCCCTCATCCCTTGGGTAGGAATTACAAAGACTGAATAGACACCCCATTTTAAGCAGTGTCACTTCATCACAGCAAGTCACCGATTTCTGTTTTACTAAGTTCACAGGTACAATAGCCTAGATGAAGTTCACCTTTGACTTTGACCTGCACTCCTAAGCAACCTGCAATGGGGAAGAGTTGTTTGGTTCTGTAGTCACCTTTGCTATCCTTCTCACAGAATGCACACGAATCTTGTGAAAGTTCTACACGGCTCATGGTTGCGTCAGCGAGGGCAATGACGGCGAGGTGTGGACACAGCGCTCCTCGCCACTCTCACTTGGAAGCACTCTCTGCACAGGGTCCCTTCAGAGCCACGGTGACCCCTCAGGTCCCGAGTGGCAATCCCCCCCACCTTTCATGGCATCTGCTCGTGCTCCTACATGCATCAGACTAAACTGATAATTCCACTTTTTCTCTTCTCGCAGGTATTATTTTTCACTGTGATCTTACCAAAGAGGAACTGGAGCCAAGAGTTTTCCGAGAGGTGCCTGTGAAGGGAATTGATGCTTCCGACTACCAGACAATCCAGGTATGGCGAAGGAGACCCCTTTCATGTGAGCGGTAGCAGCAGGCTAGGAAATCGGACTTGTGCCTGGGCGGGTCAGGAGTTGCTTGGGACTCCACCACAGCCCGGCTGACAGCACATCTTCACGGAGCTCTTGCTGTGTTCCGGGCATTGTGCCAGGCACTCCAGACGAGCCGAGCCTGGTGTGGTCCCTGCCCTCCCGGAGCTTGTAGGTTCTGCTCCGTGGCTGGCAGCCAGAGCTCTGGTCTTGGGGCTCTTCCTGTGTAGCTATCAAAGCAGCACAGTTTGTCTCTGTCAGTCTGCCTGCTTGAAAGTAGGTCGGGTTCTAGCTCGGGTCTGTGAGTGTCTTAAATTACAGCACAGGTGTGCCCCACAGAAACCATTTACTGGGTGCTAGGGTGTCTCCTCACTCCGAAGTATGTATGTCTTCTGCCTGGCAAAAAATCCTTGAGTGAGCGAATTAACTGATTAACTGCTTTATCGCAGTCAGCTCTGACTGCCCACTTTTTAGGTTCAGAAACTGATTTCAAACTTCCCCCGGGTGTACTGAGTCTCTCACGAACTGTGGAACAGATTAAGTGATGAAGCAAACGTCTCTGTGTCTCTGCCATTCCCCGGACTCACTGTCCTCAAGTCACCCCTGACGCACAGTGACCCCACAGGACCGGGGACAAACACACCTGTGGGTCCCCGAAACTGTAACTCCAAGGGGGTAGAAAGGCTCATCTTTCGCCTGAGGAGCAGCGGGTGATTTCGAACTGCTGACCTCAAGGTTAGAAGCCCAATGTGTAACGCACTACGCCACCAAGGCTCCTCCTCTTTGCCGTGGGAGGTCGCATTTGGTGTCAGCATTGTTTATGAAGAAAGCGAGGAGAAGCACCGATCTTCCTGGGAAGGGTTTCGTGACGGTGGGGTGTTGTGAGTGGTGAATGCCCCTTCACCTGCCTAGCAATCAGCTGGCACCGAGAAGTGGCTGGGCAGGGAGCGGCTGGACTTGGCGCAGGGCTGCCGTTGGCCTACCTTCTTTTAGGGTCAGGACAGTAAACTGGCCTCGTCCTTTATTGGAGCAGACGCGCCCGTGGCCTTGTGTGTTGTCTCGGGCTGCTTGTTTCAACAGCGTGGTTGCAGCAGAGACCGTTGGGCTCGAAAAGCCTGAAGGATGTGACATCTGGCCCTTTAGGGAAGCTTGCTGACCCCTGGCCTTTCACTAGTCTTTAAAATCAGAGCATCCTTTGGAGAGGTTGCCAAGAAGCTCTGCCAGGCAGGCCTGGCACCTGCCACGGACGTGCTGAGTGCCACAGGACAATTGTCCAGCCTTTCTGCCACCACGCTTTTAGCTGTAAAAGGGAGACGATGTTTATTGTGCGGGATTCCACGAGCCGATAGATGCGAAGGGGCTGGCACACAGATCATGTTAGAGAGATAGTCTCCATGATTAGAAAGCAACCCCTTGCCTCTGAGAGCTTGTGTGTGCTTGGTTTCGTTCTCATTTCCCGGAAGCGCATCCTCCATGTAAGCAAGGGCCTGCAGCCCTGGCTGGAACTGACGTGGTCTATCAATTCACCCCCGGGCTAGGCTTTTTGCCTCAATTCAGCTTCATGTCATTGTTTTTTGCCTTTTTCCGTGTGTGTGTGAGTGAGTGAGTGAGTGAGTGAGTGTGTGTGTGTGTAGAAAATTGGGTTGGCTGGTAACATTTGGCATTCTCAGAGCCTGTTTCTAGTGCTTGCCGGGGCATCCCAGGCTTGGGAGGGGATTGCCTCTTCCCTCCGTTATGCCAAGGGCACCTGGCATTACCCAGCAAGTATGCACCTTCCTGCACTCGAGGGCAGCTTTGGATACTATGGGGTCCAGCAGAGCTGACTACAGCGGGCCACCTTCATCCCCCTCATCGCTACTCTGCAGCCCCACCCACCGCTGTGAAAAACACGGTGTTCTCCTCTCTCCCACCTTCTACAACGTGTGCAGTTACCTTCCGGCGGGCGCAGAGCTGGACTTCATCATATAACAGCAGCTGCTAAGGGCAAGGAGGGGCAGCTTCTTCCAGGGAAATCGGTGGGGACGGTTTCAGTCACTTACTTATCTTGTGGTGCAGCTTCGTGTTTTCCTCTTATGACAGGCTACTAGTCCTTACAGATGATGCAGAAAACAAACTACACAGTCACTTGCTGGCAGTGAGCAGAATGAATTTCCACCTGATAAGTAATTGTTCTCATTTATAAATGGATAAACTAAATTTCACAGCTGGACACGTCCTTGTGTGGAATGGAAGTTTATCAGCTGGGCTCAAAGCTGCCTGAAATTTCCGGACTGATCTTCACAGAAACCCACGTGGGCACTGCCAAGTTGTGCACGTCATAGGAAAATACTCGCTTAATTCCTCTGCCCCCGGCTTTCCATCTCCCAAAGAAAACTGGCTTACCTTCGAGTCACGTGAATACTTAACAACTTTGCCTTTGTGCTGCTGCAGTAACGGGGGAGAAAAGACTCTTGGGCCGTATTAAGGGGGCAGTAACCAGACAGACCACACTGGCTTGCGAATCTTAATGCACGTCTCTCACTGCCATGCTCCAGAAAATGGAGATGAGTTTGTACGCCTGTTGCCAATAGAGGAAACGTGCATCTGTTGATTGTGTGCTTTGTGCAGGTTGGAGCTGGGTGATTCCATTAGAATTCGCGCATTGTTTGCACGGGTACCCTTTGAATTGCCCTCTGAGGATACAGTGCCAGGAGTTGGTACCACTTAACCTCTGTTCGGCCCTGGCTGAGATGCAGGTGGCTGTAGCAGAGCTTTGACATGAGTGGTGCCAGATGTCCTCACATTTTGATCAGGCTCTCAGTGGTGTTGCCAACATTGACCGAGTGCTGTAAAAACAGCAGGTCCTGGAGGGAGATTTGTACGTGGATGGAAAGCATCCTGATGGTGTGGGACAGAAACCCAGCATCCTGAAAAAAGGTCGTCTGGTTTGGGTTTGGTTCCTTCCAGCTAATGTCACGTTTGATCCCACTTAACCTTGGTGTTTACATTTACTTCACACTTGTGATATAAAAAGAAGACCCCCGGCCTCTTTGTCACTCCTTCTACTCCATGTGACCCTCTGAGTTAGAGGTCATGTGGAGTAGGGGGTCACCACTAACTAGTCGTGGGGATGTTGTAGCGAGCCAAGGAGAGAGGAAGAGAAAGGTTGAAGAACAAGACATATACAAGCTACAGAGGTCTCTTTTTCTTTCTTTCTTTTTCTTTAAATACTTTTATTGGGGACTCTTACATCTCTTATCACAATCCATACCTTCCTCCAGTGTGTCTAGCACATTTGCACGTATGCTGCCATCTTCATTTTCAAAGCAATCTCTTCCCACTTGAGCCCTTGATATCTGCTCCCCTTTCTTCCCCCCCGTCCCCCGCCCGCCCTCCCTCACGAACCTTTGATAAGTTATGCATATCTTACATCATCCTCCATCGCCCCTCACCTACTTTTCTGTTATTTGTTCCCCTGGGAGGGGGTTCTAGTTTGATCCTTGTGATTGGTTTCCCCCTCCCCTCCCCTGTTCCTCCTGGTTTCTCTACTCTCCTTGTTGGCCCTGAGGGGTTTATCTCTCCTGGATTCCCTGTGTTGCAGGCTCTTATCTGTAGCAGTGTGCATGTTCTGGTCTAATCTGATTTGTAAGGTAGCATTGAAGTCATGATAGTGGGTGAAGGCAGAGGTCCCCTTTTCGTGTGATCTTCCATTTGCAAGACCCTGAGCATCTTGAATAAGAAGGTGAAAAATGGGTGGTTTTTGTTCTGACAGAGAACAAAGTTGCCATTTGTAGTCTTTATCCATTCTCGACCATAGATTTGGGTAGAAAATGTTTCTGTGTTGGAAAAATCATTTTGATAATCATTGTCTGAAAGAGTTGTTAATTTTTCTCCCAATCTAAAATGTATGTAAGAGTGAAAATTTAACTAGATTTATTGCACCTGAAATAGAGTAATCTTTACATTTTCTTGCATTTTATGGAGAAAGGCACAGCCCAATAATAACTGTTTGGAATCTCTGTCACTGTGCATGTGAAAAAGAAGCCCAACTACGAATCATTCAAAGTTACATTTATGAAACTGATTTATTGGTAAGTGATTTATCTGGAAAATCTGTGCGCCTTTGTAATCAGCAATGCGCTTCATTTAAAACAAAGAGAACTAATGGGGCAAAGGGTCAGTTTAGTCCATCAGCAAGTATTTATGGGACAGACACTGTGTGTAATACAAGGGACTTTGAGGATATACAGAAATTTCAGACATGGTCACTGTTCCCGGGAAACTGCAGTCACCCTGGGAAGTTGAGACATACAGACTGGGAAGTCGTAGACATCCTGAGGAACTCTGCCACACTGCCAAGAGGAAGGACAAGACGTGGGCTAGTTATATCATGTCATCCAGAGCGGCCTGGCTGGTGTGGACGTCTACCCAGGAGTGGCAGGAGTTGAGCAGGACTTTGAGGCATGGGCGTTTTCCAGAGTTCCAGTTCTCTCCTGAGATTTCTCAACAATTTGACCACCACCCTTTGTTCAGAGATTGTCTCTGCCCTTTTGTTTGAATGTAGTTTCGTAATTTCACAGTAAACTACAAGAAGATGGACACTATACCCTAAGCGTCCTATGCCCTTGGCCTTTGTAGAGGGAAAGATACCTGCACTGATGCTGATTGGGACGTAACAAGAGATTCTCATTGTGTAGCAAAAATGTGGCCTTTGGGGTTCTTGGAATCTTTCTTTTTTTTTTCAAGCCAGCTGGGAGATTGGCTTTTCACCTCTTGAAAGTAAAGAAGCAATTTATAGACCCGTGAAAAAGAACAGTGAACTCAGTGTACTAAGCATCAGCTCCATTAACTATTTCTGCATTTTATAACAGGGTAAATTGAACAGAGACTCGAGTATCTGTAGATTACAGGGGAGGGAAAGTAAAGTTAAATCACCAGTCAGGGGAGATAGTCAGGGTTAGAAATATGTAGCATAGGTTTCATTCTC